GGTTGTACCTCGCGCCGTATAAGAAGCGAGGAAGTGGCGCAAGGAAAGTCGTTGAAAAAAAAATTTCGCGGAAGAAACGTTAGTGCATCTACCTCCGTACGGCGTCACGACTAACGAGCAGCTCGATCGGCGCGTCGTTTACGCATACCGTTCTTCCGTGGGGTGTTTATGCGCGACGCTCTGCCAACGAGGGTGCGACCACGGTCTTACATACAGGTCTGAAAACTCGCTCAATTTTCAGTGGTGGGGGTAGGTGGCTTATTGAGGCAACTTTTAATTTGCTTTACCGCCACGAGGGTCGTTATGAACAAGTAACGCCGACAAACATAACCAACAAATCAAGCTTTGTCACGGTCACAGTTAGACTGTAGTGCGTAGCTACGTACCTAAAGTGCATTGTCTCCATTCCCGAGAATTCCATCGGCAAGACGTACGTTGTGCCCGAGGAACGGCATAAAGCTCGCGTCCGCCGACAGTGACGTGAAGTTTTGCATAGTGAGCGATCGCGAAAAGTTCTTTAAAGCGGAGGAGCGCACGGTCGGTGATTTTTGCTTCCTCCTGATTCGGACTCGAACCAGCAACGTCTACGTGCTAAATCGCGAACGCAAAACGCAAAAACCGATATGTGCTCAAAGTGCGTGCCACCTCGAGCAAACGCGACGGTAGAAACAGAGTGATTGCGCTCGAGGCAGACGCCGCGGTGGTGGTGACGATTCTCGACACGAACGATCTCAATCCGCTGTTCTATCCGATCGAGTACGAGACCACCGTGACAAAGGACACGCCTTTGCATCGCAGCATACTCAGGGTAATCGCCGAGGACGCCGATCTCGGCAGAAACGGCGAGATTTACTATAGCTTTGCCGAGGAGACCGATCAATTATTTGGCGATGACAAAGCCGTGTGCTGTGCCGACATGCAAAACGGGCAATAGAGGCGACAAATCTAATCGATCTGTGTTTCGCGTGCCTAAAGATGTCGAGCGATTAAGACAATGGGTAGCAGCTATTCCCGGGATCGTCAAACTGAAGCCAACGCACGTTATATGTGACAAGCATTTCGAAGACCAGCATATTATTCGTGAATGGATCAAACGAGATGGGAGCGGTCGCATCATTGCACAGGTTCGTTAATAATATAAATTTTATGACTGTTACGGAATGCGTTCATGAATTTCTCACACAAACATTCGACACTAGTACACGTGAGCTGAGAGGTGGTGTACACGTGATCCTAATATTCTGGCAGCGCTCTGTGACATTCTTAGACCCGGCTTATTCGTCGTAAATACTGCGGAAGGCCTTTCGATTCTCGACATACCAGAATTATCACGCATGTTTCGCGTGCGTGCCACAGTTCGCGAACCGATTGGTCGCTAAATTCCCAATGCTCCGAAAAGCTATCGATCTCGCGCGTAACAGTCAGTCTGACAACGGAGCGCTCCGACGCTAGTCGTACGTTCAGCTCAATTACTGAGTAAAGTTACTGAGTAAACATAAATTCGGAAACAACGACTAATATGTGAAAGCGCAAATAATATCACATTTTCTTTCATATTACAGGCCCCATATAAGTATCCGCAGCTTAGTAAGCTTGCTGTACCAACAAAATTGTTACACGATGTCACAAACAATGAAGCCGTTGACTCGTTGGCCGAATCGTCTTCACATTTAGTGAGCTCTGTTATCAACTCTGTAGACACCCCTCACGTACAAGGTATGTGTTACATGGCTAAAGCAAATATAATGAGTATATATAGTCATTTAATTATATATCTTATATTTTGTTTTTGTATACAGATGTCTCATACATTCAGTTGCCTATTTCGGAAGATGGACAATCGCTTACAGCAATGGAAGAAGCTGATACAATAATGATTCCAACGTCAGATCCGCACACTGAAATTTCTTCTGCGCAAGTCAACATCTCGAGCACATCTATTATAGATACCCCTTACGTACAAGGTATGTGTTACATGGCTAAAACAAATATAATGAGTATATATAGTCAGTTAATTATATATTTTATATTTTGTTTTTGTATACAGATGTCTCATACATTCAATTGCCTAATATTTCGGAAGATGGACAATCGCTTATAGCAATGGAAGAAGCTGATACAATAATGATTCCACCGTCAGATCCGCACACTGAAATTTCTTCTGCGCCATTGTCCAAACTTCAAACACAGGACAAACTTTTTTACATTTATTCGGTATTCAGCGAACGTGAGTTATCAAGATTTTTTATTGCATACATTATATTAAATTGTACACTAATAAATCATAAGTGCTAAAAGCATTTGTATTCATACTCACAAATATACATGCAAACTAAAAAAAGTTGAATTATTGAGTACACACGCGGTCATTAATGCCTGGACACCGAAAATTGGATGCGTTTCGGAAACTCACTCTTTGTCTCTTTGTAACTGTCCCCCTTAGAAAAAGACAAAGAGTGAGTTTCCGAAACGCATCCAATTTTCGATGTCCAGGCATTAATACCGCGTGTGTACATACACTGCTCGTCAACGATTCCTTTTCTGAGATAAGGGGGGAGCATAGAAGTTCTAGTGACTTTAATAGAAGTAACCAATAGCGTCTGTAGGCCTGTATGTCCCCCCCTTTACCTCAGAAAAGGAATCGTTGATGGGCAATATACAGTGATAAACGTAAAATACATGATTCAGTACTTACATTAAAAATGTTGTCAATTCCTTTCGGTACACCTGAAAAAAGAAATATATACATAAAAAAGAATTTATTTCCACTTTTACTTACCTCTTTAACGTTTCCGTA